TTTTGTAAAATTTAATAAAATTATAAAATAAATATTTAAATTTCGTCAAACATAATTTTTATCAATACTTTCACAAGTTTAATTAATTAATTTATTTTCAAAAATTCTGCAAGATTCCACAAGATTATACAGTTACCATTTAAATTCAAACTTATTCTACGAGATTCCGCAAAAAGTCACTAAAAATTCTGCAAAATTATGTAATTCCGCAAAATTCATCTGGTACCATTTATACTCAATATCGATACATTTTTAGACACTGGTTTGGTCGTAGATAAATTGTATATAGCAATCTAATTCCAATTCTGATTCAAATAGACAAAGTAAATCGTATTATCAGGCAAAATACCAATACACAGTACCATTTTTACTATGTTTATCAAATTTGTATATTCTTTTTTTTGGTCACGAAATTTGTATTTTTTTTAACCTAAGTAATTAATGTAATGATACATAGTCCATCCGAAAAGAACATAAAATTGTTTATCTATAAGCACATGCTCTCTTTATCTCTCCTCTCTCACTAATAATTTTTTTTTTTTTTTGATAAACACTACTAACTAAGAAATTGTTTATCTATACTTGCTCTATACTTAGACTAATGTTTAAGTTCCGTAATGTTTAAAGAAGTGCAAAATCATCTAATGTGATATAAAAAAAAAAACTCTTATACAAGTTACATACTGATCAATGTTAGACATTTATTTAGTAATTTGTTTAAGTGTTATGGAGGTGTCATAATGTTGGTGAGGTGTGTATGGTACAATTACAGCATTACACACGCACAACTTGGTTAACTAAAAGACTGAAAGTTTATCAGTTGAAGGAAGAATTATAAGTTAATCGATAGTTTTTCTTCCTCAAACTGATAAACTTTCACTCTTTGATGTTAAAAAAAAAAACTGATAAACTTTTTCACTCTTTTATGTTAAAAAAAAAAACTGATAAACTTTCAATCGATAAAACAAAACTAAAAAACATGAACAAAGTATTTTTATTGATAATCTATAACAAATGGAGAAAAAATTATTTAAACTTTGAACAAACACATGCAAGGTTTTAAACAAAAAAAGGGTTAATTTGTTCAATAACAAAAAAAATATTAATAATCAAGCAAGTAACTAAAATGGTCTAATGTGGCCAAATAATATTCTTTAGATTTAGGGTATTTTATTAGATTTTAAGATATAGTTTTTTTTTGTGTTATTCATGGCAATTTTCCAAAAAAAAAAAACACACATGCACCATTAACAACAACAAAATAAGTTTTGTAAGAAAAAAAAAAAATCGACTGTGTACTTGTCATTCTAACAAGTCTACATCGTAGATTTTATAGCTATAAGATTTGTGTAACTTTATTAATTAATTAAAAACACACAATCTAGAGCCATCAGATCTTGTTCGGAGTCATGCAATCTCAACCGTCAGATAACCAGCCATAAAAGCCACCATGCTTCAAGCAAGAGATGTTTTACACTAAACTGACGATATTACCCTGATTTCACTTCGAGCGTGTGTACTTCGAAACCAGAGGGTAATTATGGAAAACAATGATAGACAATGAACCATCTGCGTCATGTTCACTTTTTGCTCTGCGACCTCGGTTTATGTTTTAGATTTTTTATAGTCTTTTTCAGATCCACCATTTTATTTAACGCGCCGTTAAATTATATGTTGAATTATACGACAATCAAGTAATAATACATTTTCTAGATTTTTTGTATCCACTTTTTCACCGGCTAACACAATTTATTCATTAGAACTAAAACATTTTCAGTTCAAATAATTTGGCAAATATGTGTGTTATTTTTTGTATAGACATATGTAATAGCTTTCGATCATTGAAACTAAAATTTAACTATTTTGTTCGATAACGATTTTTAACTTGGTAATTACAGATTTTGTTAGAT